TTTTGACTTGCATTATGTCCTATTAGAAGACAAATAAATAAAGTACCTTATTATTATTTTATTTTTTATATTATTAAACTCTTAATATTTAATAATTATATTAAATTTCAATTAATTCAAAATTGAATTGCATTAAATCCTATAAAAGAGAAAATTTTCAAAACACTTGTTTTTCTATTCACAAGATTACAATTAAAAATTTTATTTAAGAAAAATCAAATTTTTTCTACTAAAACCAATAAGAAGTTGATATTATTATTTTATTTTTAATGAAAGGATTCATCTATGTTCGCACGGAAGCTTCTATTTATTTTTTATTTTTTACCAGTGAAAACAACATATATTTTTCCTCATTATACAAGAGATAATTTATCTTGGTCTATATATATACTTTTAATTATTAAATTTATAATATATGCACATTTTTAATTTGTAAACTATAAGTTCATAAATTAAAAAATATATAAAAAAGTGCATATCATTCTCAATTATCAAAATAAATTAAAATCTTAATATTAAATTATATCGTTTTATTTAATTAAAATTCAATTAAAATTTTTTTAAAATATTTTATTAATTATTGATATTTAAATTTAAAAACTGATTATATCAAAATATATAATGAGTTTCCAAATTTAGATATTAATATTTAATAACATAAGATTTCAATTTTCAAATATATATGGAGACTCTAATTATTTTTAAGAACTGATATATATTATTCTTTCTCTATAAATATACAAACCTTAAAAGTGTAAACTTGTAATATTTGACCAGCAACTTATTGGGCAAAAGCCTAAAAATAGCTCATTACCTTGATAAGTTAGACGGTTTTAACCCCTTACCTTATAATATAACGGTTTTAGCCCATAACCTATAAGAATAGAAGAAAATAACCCATAAGAATAGAAGAAAATAACCCTTATTTCTAACTTTCGTCAAACCTCCGTCACCTTCGTTACTTTTTCCGTTAACTTTGTTCAGCTTATACTTATAATAAATAAAAAAATGGGAAAGCTTATCCAAGAAGCCTGATGCTTTTTTTTTTTGGAATTCCAACCTTTTTTTTTTTAGAATTCTAACATTTTTATACCTTTATTTTTAAAGATGGCTGCACATATATTAATTGTATATAATTTTTACATATTATTAAATAAATAGATATAATTAATATTATAGGTTTCAAATAAAT